TAAGTTCAACGCTTATTTTTGATATTCCCTATAACGAAGTCAACGAACATCCCTCGACTGCGAACCTCACAACATATTCAGAAGACGTCGACGATTATATTCATCGATTAGCACGTTCAAGAACAAGCTCATCATCACAACCTACTCTTGCGGAAAAGACCAAAACTTTCGTAGGATATCTCTTTAATCAAAAGTCAAGCAGTCTCGGATCATATAGCCCAAAATCAGACACACAGTCAGACGAACGCGCAGAAAGCGAATACCTCGAAGCCGACCAAGATAACAACAGAGACGGTAACGATACAATTACTACTACGCCTCCACTTACCCCTGGTCATTCTGCTTTAGGATACAACTTAGTAGAAGCGACTCACAGTGCTCAGCAATTGTATACGGCGACAATATCAACGCCGCAACCAGAATCGTCTACCCCAAACAAGAAAAATAAGGGTAAACAGAAGCAAGAGATACCCGAAATTTTGGTAGTAGCAGACATCGACCCCGAACCAGTTACGCCAATAAAGAAGGTTCAGAAACCAAAGGAAGCCAAACCACCAGTCAATCCACCTAACCATCCACCTAACCATCCACCTAACCATCCGCCTCAGCAACAACAACAAGAAGAAGAAGAAGACATGGCTACAGTACCTTATCCAGTTTTTGATGGTACTAATCCTAAGTCATGGCTAGCTCAATTAGAAGGAGCTATGCTTGCTAATGGTATAGCAGCAGATAATCATGCCAGACGTCTAGGCATTGCATCATATCATATGGGACCTTTTCAAAGTTGGCTAGCTAATCATCAACCAGCCATAGTACAATGGGATAATGCCAATGCAAATGCCCTAGGATTCAAGCAACATTTCATTGCAAACTTCTTCAATAATGAAACTAAAGAAGAAGCCCTAACTATTGCTGAAAGAAGGATTCAGAAACCAGGAGAATCCATTGACATGTACATTGCAGCACTAAGGAAAATTTGGCAAGAATGTGACCCCAACGAAATGACTGACTATCATAAGCTCAAGAATTTCCTCAGTGGACTAACTCCAGCCATCAG